GTAAAAATAGTCAATCCATTAAAATATTTTTCTTTTCCTTTTAAAGAACATGAATATACTACTTTCTATTCGTAGATTAATATAATTCGTTATAATGTGTAAATTATTTAATTAAAATTGGTGCATTTTTATCTTCAGTAACTCAATTATAATTATGAACAACGAGTTTTCTACGTGTTATAAACATACTGTGTCCAAACATTTTTAAATTTTTACGTTGTATTATATTTATTAACAAATTATTTTTCGACCAAGCCTTTAGTCTTTAGTTACTTGGTCTAATTTCATCGGAGGAAATAACCTTTGGACATGAACGTTTAAATCGAATATCGAATTTTCACATTGATGCTTGAACAAGTGAATTAAGCATTTCTTCAAAGAAAATGATTTATAATAATATAAACTTATTGTCATTGAAGATGAATTATATTTAAACCATCATCGTAATACTCGTTTCTTATTTGAGAATATCTAAGAAATTAAAGTTACAAAAACCCTTCTTATTAGCTAGCAAAATGTTTAACGTAAAATTTAACATGAGAAAAATATTAAATTTACAAGCGAGTAAAAATACCCGTCAAACTTAATTTTTTTTTTTTTTTTTAATCGGTTAATCGTTAATAACATTTATTATTAAATAAAATAGTCAAATATACATTATAAATGTTATATTATATCTTTGCAAAATAACTAAATTGTGATTGTATGCCATGCTATAATCGTGAGATTGATTTTTGCAAAACACTGGTGGACTGATTAATATTAAAGATGAAAAATAACAGAAACGATGTCTCGATCATGTTGATTGGATTGGTGTATTAATAGCATGGAACATGATACTAATATATTGTTTGCCTCATATATTAATAATAAGATAGTACATCAATATAATTTGACAGAAATATAGCTTTAGACAATTTTGGTATTTTGATTAATACAATATTGTTAAACATTGTCATACAAGTAAATTTTGTTGTGTTATTAGAAATTCGTACGGATAAAGTGCAAGAATAATAAATTCATAAATTATGAGTATTCCAAATTAAAATTTTTTCTGATATTATTTGAAACATTCAAGTGATACAGTTTAAGATAACTAATAATTTTGTACATTATTGGTATATTATGAACATATTACTTACAATTATAAAATCGATGAATAATATTTTTTTAGTTAAATAAGAACGTTGTTGGCAATTTACTATAAATATGTTATTATTTTATGAAGTTCAATTTGTTTTCAATAGTTCTGAAAACCTATATTAATATTTAACTATTCTAATTTAAAATTTAAATATTATATTAGTTTTCTATTGGTATAAGGTGCGTTATTGTGGTTGACAAACGTTATAGAACATTTTAACACGGCACTTTATATTATAATAATTATTTAATTGTTTATGGTATTTTAGTAATTAACAAATAATTTCATAAAACTGAATTTTAAACAAACAGCTATTAAAAATAATTAAAGCTTATTACAGTCATGACAAGTTTGTTTCAAAAGTAATTTGTTTCCCTCACCTATTATTTGTTGAATGTTAAAAAATTTTTTTTAGACTTTTTCTTTAAAGAGAATAATGCTACATTCAGTAAAATACATTAAGTTTTTTGTAATAAATGTATTTTTATATTTTCTTGAATCAAGTTTATTTTCTTACAGCATAACAAGTTTATTATTATTATTATTTTTTTAATAAATCCTTGCGTCATACCGAACCGGATGAAAATGTTTTCTTAATTGCTGTAATTAAAATCTTATTATATCACTGTATTCAATTTATTATAGTAGGTACATTTAATAAAATTGTTATATTACGTACCTAAACGTATTAATAAAGATTTAATTCTTCATTATTGTTTGCTATTTTTAAAATATTAATTTAAAAATATCTTTTGGATAAAAAAAAAAAAAAAAAAAAACCATCAAAAACATGTTATTTCATGGTAATTGTACTGAACAACATTACCGAAGGGCAAGCGAAACATAATGTAAAAACAATTATGGAGCGGAGTAACATTGCGTATCAGAAAAAGTTCGAAAAGTCGAATCCGGAAAAGAATATGAAAGTACATCACAGCAACAGTGGTAATAACTATAACATTATGGTAATGAAATGCGCAAGGAAATATGAAACGTACACGCGGTGTACGCATCGTTTTGCGTTTTCCGTAGATCGGACCCTTGTGCGCGGTCCCGTCAATCCGGCCGAGCGCGTTTCGGACGGCACTTATTGCGAACACGTAGTCGATATTTTTATTATTTTACTTTAACGCCCACTGCTGCCCAGCGTGCACCCGTCGTTCGCGCCGAGGCCAGAGCATCCGCCACGGCCAAGGGTAGCGGCAAAACGGTTGTGTTTCACGGCGAAACGTTGACGCGACCGACCGCGCTAAACGTCGGCTCAACGAAGACGTTCCGGCCGTGCGAAAAGCGTATGCGCGCGCGGCGTTCCCGCGGAAGTACATCGGACCGAATCGACCCGCAGCCGAGAAACATCTTCGTCCCGCGGTCCCTCCGAAAGCGCGAATTATTTCCGCGCGCGGACACCGCTTTCGTAAACGTCCCTTTTGCGAAACGCGCGCTTTGCGAAAGCGTTCGCGTCGCTGACTCGTTTAAATCGAGTTTTATCATTTTACACTTGGTTTAGACCGACCTTTCGCGTTCATCTTTACGATATTATTGTTGTTATTATTATTATTATTATTATTATTATTGGAAACATTCATTACAGTTTTGTGCTACGAATAATAATGAGTGTACGTCGCGCGTGGCAATGCCTTTATTTGGTCCTTGGAAGTTTCCAATCAATAAGAATTGTAATTTCGAAATTAGTGCCGGTAATTACGCGAACCCGTCCACCAACCAGAAACCAGTACAAACCGTTACGACTTTTACGTAACATTCGAAGAACTTCATACTGGTCGATTTCGGTTCATTTCTCTGACAATAATTTGCTTTTCGTTCGTTAATTTTTTTTATTTTTTTTTTATTAGAATTAGAAAATGTTTGTTTGTTTATAAAAAAAATGATTTATTTATTAACAGCATGATAAAACCATTTGTTCAACATAAATTCGTGTCAAAAAATATTATTTTTGACGATTTTATTTTTATTAACCATAGCTTTTAACTTTGGTGTCGATTTTGATCAAGTATATCATAAATATTCGTTTTTTATGTTTTTATACCAAAAGTAAAATATTACGTTTAACGTTGTTTTTATTGAAATGAATTAATTATAAACTATTCGACATTGTAGTTAATTAACTATATTGTCGAATAGTTTATAATTTTAAATATGACCGATCAGTCATTAAAGATTTTAATTTGCGCTTTTTAGTAGGTTATATTGTTATTTATTGCGCAATATGTATCGTGTTTTACGGCTTGGGAAGATCCGAAATGAATAATTATGAACGGCTTAGAAAAGTTTATTTTTATATTTTTAATAATTCTGATATTATGTATTCATGGTTTAATATCACGGCAATGTAATGGAATTATGTTGACGCTGGTATGTGACCTTTAGTTTCAGTTTTATGAAGAACACAGATCTGTTATATAATTAAAAGGGTAGTTTGAATAGAAACAACAGAGAAAATGTCGGGTTAAACGATGAAAATGTTCGATATTGTTTCTGTTAAATTTTAGTGGCGGAAAATAAGGATTATCACTGGTTTAACAGAGTATTACATTTATATTTAATGAATTATTTTTAAACCGATTTATGCTATAATGAAAATAAATCATTTGAACATTTCCATCAGTTTAATAAAATTTTAATATAACCGAGTTCTGTCGAACAAACATTTACTAATCCAACCAAACTTGGATGTGAGTCTAAAATTAGAACTATGAATAATTTAAAAGTTCAGGTTAACGTTGATAAATAAAAAAACAAAATAAAATTTGATTCTAGAAATATACGTGTCTTGTAATCGTTATTTTTAACAAAATATTAAAATAATTGTTGTAAGACATGAATATAACAATACATACATAAAATACATGACTTTTTTTTTATTATTAGTGACAAATTAAAGTTTTAATCCATTGGATTTAAATATTATTTCGAATCTGTGTAGATCGGATGGTTTTTTAAATAAAATGAAATTTTAAGCTATAAGATAGTTCAACTTATTTTAAACTTTTTCGACATTAAGTACTAAATGTATATTAATATCTAACCTAAATTTTTAATTCTCAACGGTATATGAAATGTAATTTGATAATCATAAATTAATTTTAAATTAATTAAAGAAAAAAATATATATTTATCTACCCTAGATAGTTTTATTTTCAGAGATTTAGCTTTTAATGTATTTCATTGAAATAGTAAATATATAAAATTAATATAAAATATAATCTAAGCTCTACTCGAAGTTATCTTTGCAATACGAAGCAAATCATTGCAACAAATTTAATATAATCTTCTCTACGTGTAACCTGGTTATGATTTAGCTGAAATTGTGGTCTGCTGTGTTGTAAGGGATATCCGTTTTTACCTTTATTGTTATATAATTTCCTTTTATTATTTTAAAGATTTTTGCAGGTTTATAGGTGGGTTTAATATTTCAAAAATCTATTGCTTTTGTTCTGTAATTTGCCACGAGTATCTTGAGTACATTATTTTTTTTATTTAAAGTTGGAAAACATAATTCCAGACATTTTAGGATTTTCAAATGTTTAATCGTATTATCTAAAATGTAATATCAATTATTTGAAAATTATATCCAAAAGAATATAAACAAATATATACATTATTTTGAAGTACAATATTATGTAATGAGTTGTTTAACGTTTATCAAGCATTTAATCTAATTTGGGTTACGACGCAATGTATATTTTAGATTTCCTTGGCATTATACGTGCATGTATTTGAAATTATGATTTTTGGTAAAACAGTTTATACTTGTACGTTTACAACATGTTTAATTTGAATATTATGTAGATATTATACTATTATGTTGTATTAATTAACTACATTTTTTTTCCAGGTCAACGGGAAATGGGGTCTGCCCCCGTTCGTTTGTGACTTCTACATAGCAATGGACGTGATTTGTAGCACATCATCCATATTTAATTTGGTGGCAATCAGTATAGACAGGTAGACAATTATTTATGTAAATATAAATCACACAACACTCGTAAAGCACGTAGTATAATAAAGTTATAATGGGTTACGATGAGGTAGAATAGTTAGTTCGTGATGTTATACCTCTCTGAACATTTAACGCAGAATATACTGTACGGGTACCGTAGGCACACATTCAGGAAGATATTTAAAGGTTTCTAAGATGATATCGTGTCCAATCACGAATTCAACTAAAATCACGTATTGAAAATTATAAAAGTCATATCGTAGTCTAACTTTCAGAGATCTATTATGCAGTGGGAATAACGAAAACTTTTTGAAAGTTTAAAGAGCTTAGGACCTTTTGTGTCCTCCTGTATGTGTTTGAAGTATACGTGAATCTATAAGTGACACACGGTTTAAATTGATTTTTATTTCTAACAACGCGGTCTCGTATAAGAAACCTCTTGAAAACCAATTGGAAGTCGCACGCTTAATATTCCGAACCGAAGCGTGAATCGATAGGGGACGCGATATGGCTCTCCGTTCACCGCCGTCGACGGCAAATCATTAATTCTGTAGTCAGATAAAGATCGAGATCGTTTGATAGCGGTGGTGGTGGTGGTGGTGGTGGTGGTGGTGGTATTAAGTCTAAAACAAAATATGCGTTAATATACCGTCTACAACGAGTTCGTTTGGACGTACGACCGCTCAGAACATAAAGTGACAGGGGGTACACGAGGGGATTTAGTTTCCTCAGCACACTTTCGGGACTCGAAAAATCTTCCTTTTTATATTTTCTTGGAAATTTCACTGGAACGCCTCATTCGTTTGAACGATATAATCGTACGAATTAAAAAAATATCAATTGATTTTAATTGATCAATTAAACAATTGATTTTAATTATTCAATGAATTTGTTTCATCTAACGGTTATCATATATCAGCGGTTGACCGTAGTTTCGAAAACCAATGCTTTACAGACGACAAATAACTAATTTCAAATATTGATTATGCACCACTGCATAAACATAGTGACCTAAGTAAACAGCCATTAAGTAATATGGTTTGGACAAGCATACGGGACCCTTAAAACGGTGTTGGGACTAAGTCATTTTTCGGCTTCCTAGAGCCCTGTGACTGCCATCACCGCCGCCCTTCGACCACGGTTCGGCGTGGTCGAAAACGACCGTATGTGTGCATTGTAACCGCGCACCGTTCTCGGTGAACCCGCGAGTAAAACCTTTAACGCGCCGAATCGTACTGCGAACAAAAAAAAAGCCGGGTATGGCCGTAATGCGTATTAATGATCGCCGTGGCTTTCTTGTTGACCATTCGAATCCAAACGCTACTACGCGCACCGTAGGCACTTATAAAGCAGTCGGCGAACCCCTCCGTGGTGGACCGTTTAACTTCTACACGGCAGAATGGTTTCGACTGTACGTAGCTTTTATCAATTTCGTTTGTTTTCCCATCCCTGTTCTCCACCTCTCCCCACCCCGAATTTCGCGCCAGTCAGCAGTGCACTCGAAAATCTGTGCTCCGGTCCGTAGTTTCAAATCTGGCCATGAGACACCACGGATCGCATTGTTTTCGCGCATAACATCGACAAACGCGCACAACTCGACCATGATCGTTGTTATAGCGATGCGATTCTATGGCGACCGATCGTAAATTATTGTACGAGTATCATATCCACTACGTTTAAACTAATAATATTTATATATATATATATATATAAAAGTTATGATAAGACGAAAATATACGCAATACTTATAGATATTGTAGGAGTAAAAGTTTTTACTTACATTATATTAAAATATTAATAATATTGATATTTTATATTATTCGCAACAACTGTGTAAAAAAAAAAAAAATACGTATGTAATCAAGTATTGTAATATATACACCGCTTTGTTACACATGTTTTACCACTGTAGACAATATATAAATAAAAATTCGCTCTAGAGGCTTAATTAATTATTATTATATTTTATAGAACCTCAATGTGAAACTAAAACTAAATTTATTCCATAATTTTGTTCTTTTTTGATCTCAAGTTCTTGCGATTTATTATTAAGATGAGTAGTTTCATACATTTTAGAAATAGTTTTGAAGTTGTTCATCGAACATTCAATCGAAATAATGATTCATGCATTTTTAACGCAAAGTTATAATTTGTAAACTATTTAATATCGTAAACAGTTTAACGAAAATAACATTTAAACGAATGCTATGTGATGATAACCAGTGTCAAGACCTTATTTATTAGTTACTGAAAATACTTTTAATAAATAAATAAATCCGGTTGCTATACATTATTCGATATAACTAGTTAGAATTGAATGTTAAATGTTAGAACTGTACTTTGTTGTTTACCATCATGTAATCATTACATTTTTTTTATCATTTTTTTTATGCCTTTATCTTACATTTTTGTAAAAATCAATCAAAACCTGACATCATTTAGGCATTTAATTAATTTTATTTAATTGAATATTATAGTTAATTGTTATTATATTTAGACAGTGATATAGTCGGACAATCATTAAAATATTATTCACTATTTATGTATAAAATTTGAGCTAAAAATGTATCTTATAATGATATAACTAATAATTATATACATTATAATGATTATGATATTTATGTATGTATAAGATAATTGAGGACCGTAAAATAAATGATTACTTAGCGTTCGAAGTTATCTTATATACTAAGTGTACTTAAAATGTGCGAAGACAAAAAAAATCTAAATTTCGAAACTTCTGTCGAACGGTTGGAGTTGATATTGGAAACAAATGCTTTTGACGAAATCATGGATTATACGCCGATTACATCAGTGACCTGTATTTGAATAAAAAGTACTTTTTATTGTGAAAAGCATACACTTCATTACCTCTTAAGCTCCTTTAAGAGAGACGTGGACGGACTGAGATATTACAGTTGAATAATTTTGTCGGAGAGGAAACGAAAAAAAAATGTAAAAAGAAGAGTTCAGATTTTAGTTAAAGTGTACATATATAATATATATGTGTGTGTGCGTGTGCGTGTAATAATATTTGTTATCATAATATATATGGATAAATTGTATAAATTTGCGAGGAAGTACACTGAATCAGGTTTGTATCCAGATAAGAAATGGATTTTCGAGCAATTATAATTTTAAATGAAAATACATCGTTAAAATATTGTATTCTATGGTAAACTTAATGCATTTTGCATTTTATTTAATTAGCCGACATTGCAATTGGCAATTGGTTAATCGAATTATAGTTGAAATTCAAACAACGTCGCTTGTTGATCAATCAAAGAATGCTCAAATAATGAGTTATTATCGTTAACAATGATGGCCGTATTTGTACTCAAATTCGGCGTATTCAGTAATGTAAGGGTTGTTGTATCAACCCCTCTCACTACATCACTCGTCTAGTGGGAGTGATATCAGAAGTACTCGGCTAAACGAAACTCATTGTTTCCCGAAATTCGTTTTTAGGTCGAGAGGTTTTTTTTTTTGATAAACATTTATACTACTACCGTTTCAATTGAGTTTATACTTAGAGATATGGTTCCACTTTCAGCTATCTGTAGGATGTTTTGAAAAGTATAGGCCATGAAAATCCAGTAAGATATAATGCTTTATCCGGATTAAAGTTGGGCAACTTAAATATCAGAAATATGATCTTTATAAATTAATATACAGTTACATACACAGAGCCGAGAAATTAGTTTTATAAATCGAATTAAAAATACAAGACTATATTTTTTTCAGTTAAAAAAGTTCATTTAATCATGTAGTAATAGACGACTGGAACAAGTTGTACACGATTACTTGATTATACATCTATATATATATATTATATTTTGATTAAACTTATTCATTAATCAATTATATTAATGAATATAAGTATTGTAACAAATTGACTATTAAAATTTCTTATAATTTAAAGCCGGTAAATTTAAACTGCATGTATTGTACAAGTTATGGAAGCCGTTGATTTATACGGATTATATATGTTTAATTTAATTCCTATAGTATAATAACAACTGATGCACCAACAAATAATTATTCAACAGTTAATTATTAATTTTTAATTAATTTCATTAGGCTAAATTTCTAAAGAGATTCGTTCAAAGTTTGAAAATGTATACTTATTACAAACTTATTAAATGCTATATTATATTTTGTATGTACAATTAGTATTACGCTACATAATCGTTGTAGGATAAATTAATTACAAGAAATAATGTTTGAATAGTCTTGTTTCTGTATGTACGATATATTTAATAAGATGTTTTTTTCGATTTAATATAGTATCAAAAAAATGATGTAATATTGATTTCTGAGTTATATTTTTTATGTGAATATCGTCATCGTGAAGGGTACATATTTTTATATGACATATAATATGTTGCTTTGATATCATATAAGATAATATGATGATATTCCTATATGCAAACCTTTAAACTAGACAAAATAAAATAACGTACACATAAAAAGATACTTAAACATATCATCTCGACCTACATATATTTGTTATTAATAATATTGTGGAACATTGAAGGAACCCAAAACTGACGAAAGATTAAATATCATTTGATGAAACATAGTGTTTGCCTAAAGAAAAAAGATGAATTTCTAAACAATCGCAAGAAATCAACGATAATCTTAGCGTTAAGATGTTTGTATATTTTTAGATGTTTAGGTATTTTGGAAATTAGGTATCTGAGTATTAAAATACTTGAATTTTTTCTGGTTGGAAATAAAAAAAATATTTAAAATAATGGCCTTGTAAAATGTAAATTAATATGTTTCATTTAAACTAAGCTTTAGTTTTTATGTATTCAATCGATATAAAAAAATATAATAAAATGGAAAATTGTTTATTGAACAAAGAAGAGCTGATTGTAAGGATTTAATAGAACGAAACCAATTTAATAGGATCTAGTAGGGTTAAGCATTTGAACATTATAAGATTAAAACCGTACGTCTTATACATTTGTTGTATTAATTTAGTTTGAACATGTAGACA